TAATGTTTTTTTTTTACAAATTAATCTTTTTTTAAGAATTTTTAATTTATTTTTTATTTTATCTTAAAATTTTTCACAGAACTTTATATTTAATTTGCTTTTATTTTAGGTTCCAAAACTTAAATCTTTAAATTTTATATATCTTTAATTTAACTTAAATTATTAATTTTGTTTATAAGAAGTTATTAACTTAACTATTAAACTATAAAACCTAACTTTATATAGATTTTTTAATTTTATTTTTTTAAAAATTTTAATTTTTTTTTGTTTTTAATTTTTTATTTTTCATAATATTTTTTTTATAACTTTGACAATCTTGATATTATTCTTTATTAAAATATTATTCTTTAAATTATAGACTATTTTCAAGTAAATTTGTCTAAAAAAATTAATTAAAATATACTGTTATAGAACGAATTTTATTATTATATTTTAGTATAGTTTCATGAATGTATATTTTATTATTAATTATTAGTATTATTATTATTAGCATTAGTTATTATTATTATTTAGTTATAGTAGGTAGAACAAATACAGTGCTTAACACATGATGCTTGATGCTTGATGCTTGATGCTTAATGCTTGCTGCTTGATGCTTGACACTTGACACTTAACGCTTGATGCTTGACACTTGACACTTAATGCTTGATGCTTGATGCTTGATGCTTGACATTTGACACCTGATGTTTAATGCTTTACTCTAATAATTATTAAGCTTTGACACTTTGCTTTAATGATTGTTAACAGATATATAAACCTCAAGAATTTTCTCAAGTCAAGCAAGTTACAAACACCTCTCTCCTTCTATCTTTTACTTTAGTAACTCCTATAAAGTGTAAAAGGATTCCTTAGAAACAGAAACCTAACAGATAGCCTTATTCCTTTAATAAAGTTATTATCTTTATCTATAAACTATACTGATATTCCTCCTTTAGGGTAATTCCTACAGGCAAGGTCTATCGCTCCCAAGTTAATAAAGTTATAAACTGTTGTATTGTCTTAACCGAACTGCTCAGAGAAGGGTATAGTCACTAAATAATTAAAGCTACTATACTTCCTTCTTGGACACTGCTATAAATCTATAAAGGATCTCTGTAGCTGTGTCATTATTATAGTAAGAAGTAAAAGAAGGCCTCTCTACTGTAACAATACTTATAATCTATATTATTTAAATTTTAAAATATTTAAATAAAATTTTATTTAATAATATTTAAAAATAAAAATTATAATATAGTAATATTTAATTTTATATTATAAAAAAAGTTTAAGTTATTTATAAATTACAAATAAACAAATTTTAAAAAAAATTTTAATCAAAAAAATATTCACTAATTTTGCTAAACTCTTTAAATATTAATTGTAAACTTATAGATTTTAATACAATATTATAACTTATATAAAGAATTACAATTTTTATTAATATAATTTTTTAATTTACTTATAAAAATTTAGATTTGTATTGAGAATAATTTTTTTTTAGTTACAAAAATATATAAAATCTTAAAAAATTTAAAAAAATTTTTTATAATAAAAATTTTTATTACTTATAGAATGTGGTGACCTAGTAAAGTGATCAGGTTATTAACTCTTAAGTGGCAGATTTAGAGTTTAAATCTCATAAATGATGAATTTTGAAAAATAGGTTTGTGTTATAGTAACTGTTTCTGTTGATCAGTTGGATTAGTGTATCTGTAACCTTTATTACACCATCTCAAATAAGAGTTTAGGGCATCTATACAAAGTATAATGTTATATCTATATAGAGGAATGTCAATAACTAATGTTGCATAAAACTTCAGTGCAAACCTATGATAAGACTACCAGGCACAGAAAGTAAAGAAACTAAAGAGTCAGAAACCTACTTGGAAATCCTGAGTAAAGAGATAATATGAACTTTTAACAATACTATTGAACTATTAAAAGGTTTCAAAAAAGAATTACTAAAATAACTAGAATAGATTAGATGACAATATATGTAGAAGAGCATATACCAACCAAGCTGTTAGGTTTGCTGAAGAAAATAAATCTTAGGATACTATACCGGGCCATCTGAATTGGTAGTTTGTGAAGTTTTATAGGTTTTGTAGATCCAGAAGTAGGAAGTGGAAGTTAGGAAAAGAAGGTATCAAAATCCTAATAAACTTTACAAGAGTATAGCAGTTTAATAGTTTGTCCTAACTGCAAATAATAATCTAGGCCAGAGTAGTACTAAGTCAGCTATAAATATAGAATACAGAAGGCTCTGGTGAACTTAGTATAAAGTTAAACATGACTTAGTGACTATGATATATTTGTAGAAATTTTGCAGTTGATAGAGTAGAAATAGATACAGAAACTAAAGTATTTAAATAGAAAACCTACAGACAGGTTCTAGATATAGCAACTAGTATAGAAGCTTCAGGTAGACTATTTAAAATAGACAATAATTAAAGTTATATAAATGACTAGTTGTACACTTTGTTTATAATTGACTCTGTAGCTATTATACACAATAGTTATATACTAACTAATTATCAATAAACTTCTAAGTTGCAATTACTCATCTTAATATTAAAAAAAAAAATTTTATTACTTAAAAGTTTCTTATTAATTTTAAAAAAATATTTCAATAAAGTTTATAAAATATATTTTCAATAAAATTTTTTTTTAATATTAAGATAAAACTTTGCTTTTATCTTTATTTATAGTTATTAAGTAGTAACTATATAGAACTACTAAATACAAAAAAATATTCTATATATAGGAGGAGTCAATAGAAAAGGGACAAATCATTTTTAATAAAATTTTTTTAATTTTTTAATTTAAATAACTTAACAACTATTTAATTAAATCTGCTAAAAAATTTTTTGTTTTAATCTTAAAATTATATAGAATTAAAATAAATAAAAAATTATTAAATTTAATAAAATAGTTGTTAAGATATTTAAGCTTAAAGTTAAGAAAACTTTTATTTAGAAAAAATTTGTCTCTTTTTTATTGACTTCCTCCCATATGCTATAATTAAGACCAACACTCACAGTTAGAGCTAATATTAAATTATTAACTATAAAACTATAATTCTAAATATAAAAATATTATATATAAGAATGTGAGTTTAGACATATTTATCTACAATTTAAATTTATCAAGATGACTAAAACATATTTAAATTAGTTAAAAATTTCTAAATACTTTAGTATATACTAATAAGTTAGTTATAAATTTTACTAACTATTTATATTATTTAAAATTAATTACATCATTATAAAGAAAAAAATATAAGTAAAATAAATTAAATAAGAAATTAAGTATAACTAAAAAGATAAATAATAATGTCAATTAAATAAATAAATAAATAAAAAAACTTAATAGAATTATAAAAATATAACTAAAAAAATAGTATAAATTAAATAAGTAAATAGATAAAAAAAATTAACAGAAATATATAAATATAATTAGAAAAAAAGACTATCATCAAGTTTATCAATAATTTTAAATATATTAAAGATGTAAATAAAATTAGTTTCTAATATTATAAATATAATAATATTAAATTTTTTGATAATATATTGGTTTACTTAATTGAAGTATAATTTATTAAGATTTTTTTAAAACTAAGTAATAGTTAATTTAGAGATTTGAGTGATATTGTAGTAGACAATGTTTCTAATTAAGATTTATAAATCACTTATTTAAAAGAAAATTTTATTTAGTACTTTTTTAAAATTAAGATTAATAATTTTATTATTTGTAATAAAAAAAATAAGATATATATTTTGGATTAGTAGATGTGTTGTTTAGTTGGATAAAGTTTTGTTCAGACTGATCAACTAGGTTATAGAAATCTTTATAAGGTAAGGGTATATAGAATGTTGAAGTAAACATAGAAAGATTTAAAGATAGATATATATATTGTTAGATAAGTATAATATTAAAAGATTATTTAAAATAATAAGAAGTTAAATTGTAGATATTATCAATTGTTTTTGAATTAAGAATTTTACATTTTTCTGAATTAGTATGTTGCCCATAGCAACTTCAATAGGACCGAATCAAAATATAAATCTATTGTTATATTGTTAAGATTTTTTTTTTTTAACATTTCATTAATAAAACTTTAATTAAACACAATACATATGTAAGTAGTCCGTTAACATTATTATTACTGACAATCATTTCCCAATGTTCTATTTTATCTAGCCCTAGTCTCAAGGCTAACTTTAAGGAAATAATTGTTGTATTATTGACTTATAATAGATTAAATGTAGTAAATTTAGATCAAGTTAAATTTGTGGTAGGTTAAGATTAATTATTGCTGTATTAAGTTGGGTAAGAGTCTATGCTAGAAGTACGTTGTAATTGTATCTATTCCGAAATCCAAACCTGGTTATCCGTGAGTATGTTATCCAGGTAGTAATATTTATAAATACTGTTACTTAAAGTTTATCTTTTGAAATGCAATTTTTCAGACTTAATAATTCCAATATTCTTTTTTTTTTAACAAACCATGTCTTTCTTGTTATCAATAACAGTAGAAACAACAAATTTACCATCCGAATCTCTTGTTTAGCGTTAATAAAATCCAGCTATAAACTTCAACTTTTTATTTTTCAAGGATTATCGTAAGTTCTCAAAATAGCGGGCATGGGCGTTATTTCAGACTTCGGCATGAATTAAGCTTAATTCTGGCCAAAATTCGAAATAACGCCCTATATGTAACGAAATTTATTATTTTTTACGTTATTGTTGAAAGTAAAACTTATTCCCTAATTGATCAAACTAGTATAACTGAAGTTTTATTTTATTGGTTACAGATAGAAGTAGGGCGTACGGGTATACAAGTTAGACTTTTACGGTACAATTTGAGCTTTCAAGTTAAAATATGAATACAACTTATTCTTTAATAAAATCATAAATGACTATAAATATACGATGAATAAATATACAAATAATATCAAATTATACAAACTAATCCATATTAAATGTAAAGTCATAATTAAAATACATAAACTCTATAATGATTATTGTACAATCCTCCGAAAATCTCCAAAAACAACTTGCCCGTTGAACACAGTTGTCAATACGGCCGTGTTAATTATTTCTTGTTCTGGAATGTTCATTATATCACGATCGATTACTACAAAATCCGCATATTTGTCTACCGTTATCGAACCCAACTTTGAAAAAAAAAAGATATTGAGATATTGAAAAATTTAAACTATCAAAAGCTATGGAAAAAGTTGGGGGTTTTTTTTATACATACAATATCTTCATTAAATGCGGAATAGGCAGCATCAATGGTAAACCCGCGTAAAGCTTCTTCACGTGTTAGTTTTTGCGATGGAAACCATCCATTTGGACCGTGTGGCTATAATTAAAACAATTAAGGTAATATTATCGTTATTAACAGATCATTTTATCAATAAGTGAATATAATGAAATCATACAGAGTCTCCATTAGTCCATTTTCTCGTGATTGCAGCATAGAAACCTAAAAAAGGGTTTACAGATTCTATGGGAAAATCTGAAGAAAGAGGAAATGCCTTTACTCTTCATCAGTGTGTACATAATATAAAGTCAGTTTATGTTAGAAATCATAAAGCGGTGATAAAATTCCAAATTTAAAATTACGCATACAATTGTCACTCTTTTGGGAACGTTACAAATACAATTTTCACTTTTTTTGGGACAAAATCTATTAATTCTAATTCTTTAATTTAAATTTCTGGTATTAATTTATGTACAGAAATTCCAATTAAAATAATTATTTATCCTTTCCGTTATAATAAGTAATCACATTCCCAGAAAGAGCGACAATTTCGAATATTGACTAAGGCATAGCGATTTATTTAAGGTCGGAAGGGTATAATGTTCCAGGATGGGTTCACAATTCACTTGGTCGATCATTGTGTGAACTCACTTTGTTCTTTACTTTAAATCTGGAATTTTACCTAAGTGATCATTTGTTTTATTAAGTATCATACCCAGCATCAATGAATGAACGCCATGCGTATGCACCTTTAATACGTTCACTACCAAGTCTTTGTTCTGCATATTTCATATCGGAAGTTGCTGTATACAATAAACCAAAGTTAAGTTAGAATCGCCAAGATTATTGTCTTCAAATTCTGTATTTACCATGTGTAGGCTGCATCGATGGTATAATCCTTAGTTCACCAACACGTTTGATATCGTCTAGTGTCTGGATTAAAAAAGAAAATTTTTTCTTAAATGACGTGTAATGATGATTTTGGAACACATTAATTAATAAACATACCAAAATTTGTGCATGCTCAATCCTAAATCTAACACTTTCTCCTAATTTTTTAACTTCTTTAGTTAATTCTTTCTCGGTAATATTTGGATCTTTTTTTTTTGAAAGGACATAATCTTTAAAACATTTTTCATATGCGTTTATGATTAGGTGATTGGCTTTGTCCCCTATACAATGGGTGTTTACTTGGAAGCCCTGCATAAAAAAGAATATATTAAATTAGTTTTCAATAATGCAAATGCTTAAACATACGGAGCTCGAAGTAATTTTTAAAATACTATTATACATTATCCATCCATCGGCTAATCACAGGTGGTAATAAAGTTGGATCGGAGATTAATAACCCCTGCTTGGTTGGATCATCTAAGTTTCAAAATATTTAATATATTCAAAATAATTTATTGCATCAACAAATGCCAATTAATAATAAGATTTTACCAGAATAAGGCTCTAACAATGCTATAAAAATAGAATTGATATTAAGTTGGTATTATGAACATATAAGAACGAAATTACATGTAGTGTTCCAAATCGAAAATCGATTAGTTAATCGAATTGGCGACTAATCGATTGATAATTTTATAAGACTACTGATCGATTGTCAACGATTAATCGATTAGTTAGTTAGTTAATCGATTAGTTGACTAATTGACTAGTTGTTTTATACAGTATCATACTTTTTTGATCTTGTAATTAATATATCCAAGCCATTAGTCGACTAATCGATTAATTGATTAGTTGATTAGTTGGATATAATCGATTTTTAATCGATTTTTTTAAAAAATTTTTGGCCGACTAATCGATTGCATTTTTTGGTCCGATTTGTAACACTAATTACATGTTAAATCCACTAGCTAATGAAATAAGATATCTTAAATAGTAACCTACCAGCACCCCAACTTCCCAATGCACCATCCATAAACATTTTAGCACTTCTGACAGTTAATCTTCCGTCACCTAACCCTTCTATTTTCTCAATCTGATCACCACAATAGGTATTGTTTTCACATTCAACCATTGCATAATTTCTGATGTTAAAATCTTGTGGATTTGATAGAATAGTACTAAAGAAAAAAAAAATTAGATCATAATGTGAAACATTACAAAATAAAAAGACAGATTTAGAAATCCCAAGGTACTTTTTATAAAATTTAAGTAATTTAGGTAAAACCCCCGCATCATGAATTCCAGTAAGACCGTGAGAATGCATTTCGTAGATTGCCGCTTTGAGATTTGCTAATAATTGCTGGTCAGTTGGTTGTGGTAATATCTGATCTATAAAATTGTAAACAAGAAAATATCAAATAAAACCATCAAATTATACATCATTGAAATAATTTCCGAAATTAAACTTACGAATCAATCTCATAGCATTATCAACAAAAATTCCCGTCAATTGACCTGTTTCCTTGTCTCTTACAATCTCACCACCATCTATTTCGAGTGGAATCTTATCTTTTCCAAGTATATCTAATACTCTCCCATTAACCCACAAAGCATGTCCGTCAATACGTACTAATGATATTGCATATTGAGTCAGTATTGGATCAGTGTCTAAATCTTTCTGTAAAAACATGAGGATTTTTTTTTCAAAATTGGATAATTGAATAAATTCATCAAAGGATTCATCAAAAAATTCATCAAAAGATTTAGATAAACTGGATAGTTACAGAGGTCGGAAACGATTTCGATGGCCAGAGTGTTTGATCCCATCCCCATCCTATGATCCACCCATTCGTGTCAGGATGTGTTTTGAGATATTCATAAATTCGTTGATTTATGTCTATAATGTTATAATTATGACATAAAATTAACTTATTATTCAGATTATATTCATATATACTATTAGGAGCAACCTTCAGTAGATTTTGCACCGACAAGATTAACAGATGTTAATGCATCACCAAGGTGCATTAAATGCTATTAAAATAATAACAATTAAGACTATGTAATATAACGATAACAATAATGTCAATATAGTTAAAAAATAAAGTTATACCGCATGTGCATCGATTAATCCTGGAATTACGGTTCGACCTCCCAAATCTATATGCTAAAAAAATTTCACATCAAACAAAACATATTAACATGAATCTTTTATTTCATTACTTAAAAAAAATTGAAGTTCGTAATAAATAATAAATAAAATAATAATAATTACTTTAAGACTAGTCCATTTTTGCAGCAAATCTAATCTTGTACCAACATCAACAAACTTTCCATTCAAAACCACAAAAGCTTCAATTTTTGGATTTTTTTCATCAACTGTATAAATGTTGGCATTATATATCACATAACCTTCAGGTTGTTCTCTGAGATTTTAAATTTATAGTTACATAACGATATTTGGTAAATGATGATTGATGATTAACCGAATACATTATTAAAAAATGTGTAAACACCTTTCATGCAATATAAAAAAAGTACCAATTACCAAAGCAATGGTAAGAATTTTTATGAATTGCGAATTTTTCAAAAATTTCAAGATATAATGCGAGATTGTTGGACCTTTAATGTACTTTATAAAAGCATAAAAATAAAATTTAGGAAATAATTTATTTTATTTCAGAAAAAAAGATTTCATATTAAAATATTATTTTGCAATTTTTAAGGATTTTTAAGTTTTTTTTTTTTTTACTTTATTCAAACATGTTTCTAAAGAAAGATGAGATATATACCCAAAACTTACCCTTGAACCAATTAATGGGTCCCGTTCATTAGGAACATTTGGTTCAGACATACTCACTAAATTTGAATTGACGGAAAACACATCAAAATGAAAAAAAGAGTGATAATGGAATGATATTTAAAAAGTGAACAAATTCGTTCTTTGCATAAAATTCAAATTACGTACATACATCCGTATGTACGTACGATTCACCGCATACATGGGCCCTGGAACGCTTTATTATTTAAGTTATTGGTTCTGAGTAACACAATACGCGTTTGTGACAAAAAAAGGGTAAATCAATATATAGATATGTATAAATTATAGATATGATTAAGCTTATCAATTCCTTTTGAAGTTGAACATTGTTCGCCTTCTCGCAAATTGTGCACACCAAGAACGTGGTACAACGACTAAATCAACGTTTTTAATTAATGATATGTTATCATATAGCCATAGGTGCTATCAAATGATTGTATTAGCCTGAAAATAGAAAATTATGGATTCAGCCTACATACTTAAACGTTAATGTTAAAATTAAATCAGCTCTAAAATCTCGTCTTCCACTAACCAGTGTTGTTCGATGATTATGTCATGCCATTTTTACTGTTGGTTTCTCTATACACCAATGAGATCCAATGAGATCCAATGAGATCATATGGGGTACGTTAATGATTAGCCCTGCAGCTATTTAGTTATCGGGTGATCTCAATAACACTTACGGATTCCTATGATGAATAAATTATCGTAGTTTCAGATTGGTGTTAAAAACTCATTGAGTATGTATTGTTAGCACAAATTAACAATGGGCCGTGCAAAATGCACAGAAAATAAAATAACATTCACGTATAAAAAACACTCTTTGCACTGCATATCTGACACCTAATATTCGGTTTTAATGTTGATGGAAATCAATTATCTTTATCTGATATAGTTTAGTGAAATTTGAATATCAAAGAGCAGTGAATAGTCTAAATCTTTCCAAATTAATTTAACTAGCATTAGGAGTATAATTAGAGTTAAGACATTTATATATAAGATTGCATTCCGACTTCTTTTTGTTATACGTATTTACCAAAATAGGTTTTATTGATTTGGAATGATGTAGACAAAACTTTGATAATCTAACTTTTATCAAGATAGCCGTGACTTTGTCTATTTCTGTGTTTAGGGTTGTTAATAGCGATAGGGTGGGTTGGGTTATTCCTCAACCCATTCCAACTTGGGTTGGGTCCACTCTTGAGCCATTCCAGATTTGCTTAGAATTGTTCCGGTTTACTCTAATTTCACTTCGACTATACACTTACAATCATTTTTGATAAATACTTTTGAATTCAAGAAACCCAAAATACTAAACTTCGCATCACAAAAATTTCTACATAATCATTTTGTTTTAAAGTTTTTTAGTAGCTTTTGCACCTACCTGTTAAAAACTATACTAAAACAAATATATACATAAAATTACAAACAGACTGGTTTAGGGGTGTGGCGACCTAGTGAAGTGGTCAGGTTGTCAACCCCCCAAGTGGTAGGTTGGGTGTTCAAATCCCATTGATGGTGAAAATTTGGATAATCACCTATGTAATATTTGTATTATGGCAACTGTTACTAACGATTGGGTTAGGATACCTGTAATGGCAATCACATCGGCAGGTCATGGGGCATCTGTGTAAGTATGACATTACATAAAGGAATGCAAACCGACAAATCAGGTGGTGCAAATACTAGATAAGTCCTTGTAGTCATGTAAATCTGTTGAAATTAGGTAACAAGAAGTTCATTTGGGAAAACCTGAGTAGAGAGGTAGCTGGATCTTCAATGGTTCTACTGTAAAGGCTAGCTTAAAGAAACTGATACCAAGGTCATAGTACTCAGTTGTAGTAGTCAAACAGACAAGAACCTCCAGGTTGGGATCCTAAAGGTACCACCAACAAGGCCACTGAAACAAACTGAAGGAAAAGGATATTAGGCTGACCCAATATATCGATGGACTGGTCATTGTCCTACACAGGCTATCTGAATTGAAAGTTTAATAAAAAAACTAGACAAAAGATAGAGATATACTAAAGTACTGGGATTATGTTGTGAAGTAGATGCTGGGGTCTAAGTAAACTCTACAAGGACATAGTAGTTTAATGATTAGCCCTGATCGCAAATGTTAGTTCTGCCATAGCGATATCTAGGTCAGTTGTAAAAATGAATACAGAAGGCTCTGGGGGGTTTACCTCAAGGATAAATTAGTTCTAAGGTTGAGGATAATGATCTGGTACATCAGAGATGACCAGTGATGTTAACACAGATTACAGGTTTAGAGGATTTAAAGTGAAACATCCAAGCAGGGGTGTTAGATATAGCAATTGGTGAGGAACCTTCGGGCAGACTCCTTAAATAGGTAATATAGAAAAGTTACATGTGTAGTCAATTGTACATTCTCTTGTAATGGTTCATTGAACCACAATACTGATAAGTGATTAATAAAAGTCAAAAGATCAAAGAAGTCATCTTAATATTAAAAAAAAAAATAAAAAATAAAAAACTTATAAGTAGGTTCCAAATATGGCAACTAGTACAAAACCTTTAAATAAACTACTTAAATTAGATAATAACTAAAATTGTATAAATGTTAGTTGTATACTTTTTATATAATTATTTTTATAGCTATAATATAACTATTAGTTAAATATACTATCAATAAAATTCCTTTTTTTTTTTGTATTAAAATAAAGCCTTGCTCATATCTTTATTAGTAGTTTAAAAGTTAGTAGCTACATAAAGCTACTATATATAAAAAATAATTTTTTATATAAATGCTATAGCTAAAACCAATACTTGTAATCAGAACTAAATCATTAAACTGCTAACTATATAGCTATTGCTTTAAGTACAAATAAAAAAAAAACTATATTCAAGAATAAAAGCTCAGATATATTTATTTGTGACCTAAATCTACTAAAGTGGTTAAGACTTATTTTTTTTTTTTTTTTTAAATATTAACGATGAGACCATGCCTTTAACTTTATTGAAATTCAATTGAAGTTTTTACAAAGAAAAGCTTGCTTTTAAATTACATATGA